GGAGGAGGTGAACAAATCACACCCTACTCCCCACCCCACCCCACGCACAGCATGAATGTGCACAAGTTTAACACCCTACTGCCGGCAAAATCACGACGGTGTGTCTACGTGATCAGCCGTCAGGCTAGCTCGGGCACCAGACTAGTCTATTCCAGTTGGACCACAGTGTCAATAGTAGCAGCAGCTGCAGCAGCAGCAGCAGCAGCGTCTATCGTAGAGCCCTACGGGTAATAATGCGAAGGATGGGAGTGTGAAGAAGAGTGAAACTAAGAAGGGGACGACGAAGGCAGTTTGATTTCGCCTATTGAGGGTAAGTCCATAAAATTGGGAACAAATAAATCTTTCTCTTTGAACCATCTGTGAAATACTCCGTGCCTTGGTGGGATTCGAACTCACGACAGTAAGGGCAGGCTTTAGTACAGTCAACACTCTAACCACCAGAGCTACGAGGCCCAGCCAATGAATTACGTGAGCCTGGTGGATTCTAGATGTATTACTTAAGAAATCCTGCTTGGACAGTCAGCTTACTGTATCAGAATCGGTGGATCCAGACGTTGCAGTAGGTTGGGCGGGTAAACTTGACCCAGCTGTGATTAAACTTGCGTCGTCTGGTGGGGCCTCGCAGCTCAGGGGGTTAGCGCGTTGGCTGTACTAAAGCCTTCATCTTACTGTCATGGGTTCGAATCCTACCGATGCACCGAGCTTCTCACATTTGAGTCAAAGTGAATTATTTGAAAATCTGCCATAACACTTATGAAATAAATCTTCACCTGATAGAAGCGAACAGGCGAGTTCCAGGTAGCAGTTCAGAAGATGAAGATGCGCTCACCGGAACAAGAACTTTATTTGCCTGACGTTTCGGATCCTTACTCGAATCCATCATCAGAGACATTAGCAGATAAAGGTGATTGTGGCACCAGGAGTGTGGGCTCGGTATGTGGATGACACCTTCGTCGTCATCGAACGGGATCAGGTGCTGACGTTCAAAGAACAAATCAACGCCGTCTTCCCGGACATCCAATTTACGATGGAGGAGGAGGAAAACAATCAGCTGACCTTCCTGGATGTCCTCGTCTGCCGCAAAGATTGTGGTGGCCTAAAAAGCGACAAATACGACGCAAATACTGAACTTCAATAGCAACCACCCGATCAGTCACAAACGCAGTTGCGTAAGGGCGCTATACCGGCGCGTTGAGACGCACTGCAGTGAAATGGAAGACAAGGTTGCTGAATTACAATATCTTCGACGGGTAATGAGAGCCAATGGTTACCCGCGCAGCTTTGTCAACCAGTGCATACGAAAAGGACACCAGAGACCAAATCCAACCGGACCCAAATTTTGGCGGGCTCTTCCGTACGTGAAGAACGTCTCGGAAGCCGTCAGTCGTCTTCTCACTCCACTTGGAGTTGGGGTTGCACACAGGCCGGAAGCAACCATTAGGCGCCAAGTCATGAGGCCAAAAAACCCGCTGCCACGGCAGGACACGTCTGGAGTCATTTACCGGATCTGGTGTAGTTGCGGACAAAGCAATTATGTCGGAGAAACTGGGAGATTACTCCGTACGCGAATTGCCGAGCACGCAGCAGCGGTGAGGCGGGGAGACGCTAACTCTCAAGTGGCGGCACACTCGACGGGACCCGGCCATATTTTCAAATTTCAAGAGGCCGAAATCCTTGCAAGGGGTGACAACCGCGTGAGCCGCGAGCTGCTCGAGTCATGGTTCTCAGGCCCGCAATCCATCAACAAGCACAATGACCTCCCGGTACCCAATAGCGTACTGCGATTTTCCCTGGGCAGGAGAATCAGTCACGTGGGGAGGGCGCGGGCGAGCAATCATCACGGTGACAGTGAGCCAGTTTGCCGAGCAATCGTCACACCAGCATCGAGCACGGATGACGAAATCGCGGCAATTAACGACTCGGACTCGGACCGACAAGCCACCACCGCATCACTTACGGCCCCAGCGAAGATTACGAGAACTGTTAATTGCAGTGCGCATGCGGTCCCACGGCAGCCACGTGCTATAAATACTGCACTCCTGGTGCCACAATCACCTTTATCTGCTAATGTCTCTGATGATGGATTCGAGTAAGGATCCGAAACGTCAGGCAAATAAAGTTCTTGTTCCGGTGATCGCATCTTCATCTTCTAAATCTTCACCTTTATCCAGCTCTTGAAGGAAAATTCCTAATGTCTCAGCGGTCGGATGTGGTTATGTAGCCCCACCTGAAGTAAAAAAAACTCCAATCACCTCTTATCAGGGACCGATGGTAATAGGGCTTTTTACAGGTGGGCTGGGGAACGCACGGGCGACGAGGACAAGAAGTTGTGTGCAAAAGAAAAGCTATTGGTGATGCGCGGTTGTACTTTTAATGGTTGAGAAATAGTTGCGCTAATCCCTTATCTTAACCCTAACTCCGAACTATAACCCTTAACCCTAGCCACTAACCATAACCCCTAACCCTAACTCCTAACTCTAACCCTAAACCCCAACCCCAACAGCGTTGTGTTCATCAGGTGGGACTACCAAACCACATCTTACCGTCTCAACTAACGCCCAACTAGTCAGGCTTTATTTTTAAAAATCGGAAATGCGTTTTTCACCCGAAAAAGTCCGCGACCCTTGTGGGACTCGAACCCACGACAGCAAAGACAAGGCTTTAATACAGCCAACGCTCTAGCCACCTGAGCCACGAGATCCAGACGGCAAACCGCGGGTTTCATCACATTTGGTTTAAGTGAGCCTAGTTGTCATTCGGTGGATTGTAGATTGGTTACTAAGGAATTCCTGCTGGGGTCAGTCAGCTTACTGCATCAGAATCGGTGGACTCCATGCGTTGTAGTAGACTGGGCAGGCAATTTAATTCAAATTTGATTAAACTCACAGCTGCCGGCGGGGCCTCATGGGTCAGGGAGTTATAGCGCTGGCAATACTCGTCGGCTCGAACCCTACCGAGGCCCCGACTTCTTCGCAGTTGGGTCGAATGAATTAGTTAAAGTCTGCTAAAACACCTCTTAATGAAAATGGGTTTGCTGACTGTAGTAAATCGTCCTCTAGCACTGTATTCATCTGGAGGTTTAGGGAAAACTATGTTTGAAGCATTTGTCCCCATGAAGCCAGACTTTTGTTCTATTTGGGAGGTGAGGTTTTGAGAAAAAGTGATGAAGGGGAGGAAACAAAATTCACTTCACCTCAGGGCGGCTGCCTAAAGCATCTGCTGACTTATTCTACGAGAAAGTCAGGTGTGCTGGTTTATTATCCCCTACCGTTCTCTGGGGAATCTTACGGTATCTCACGCTTGTTTTGCCAGAGTAAGTGCTGATGCAACGGAAGACACGTCAAAATGTACAGTGCGTGACCTAACTCATGAAATGTGTCGTAATTTACGAATGCTTGCCAATCACTCGCAAACCGACACCATTTCATGAGTCCAATGTCTATGTTAATTAAGGACAAGTTTAAAAGCATATAAAACATAAAATAAATATTATAGGCAGTGTTGCGTTGTTTAGAAATGTTTATTTATTTTGAAAAGCTCAATATCCCGAAAACGTCAGAAATGGTTCTAATTAAGTAAAGTTCGTTTTCAGGTGTATAGAATGTATTCTCATACCAAACACGTAGTAAATATGAAAGTAGCAATAAAAGCACGTTTAATAACAGCGTTTAAATGAAGTTTACATCGCTAAAATTTACCGATATTTTACTTGATATAATTACTTAACCACAATTTCTGCACAAGAAATGGCCATTTCATTGAAGGATGTGGGTGAGCGAACAAAATTCGCCACGTTAAAGGCGTCCGAAAATTCTCTTACCAGTTTCCGTTATCAGATTTCATGAGATAGTTCACGCACTGTATATTAGCACTTTTGCCATTTTCTCTGGCCTGTGTGTTCCTTGCCCAACTGACTGTATGTTTGTTTGTTTCGACCTCGAAGTTTAGTTTTCGCTCTTCTTCCTCTTCTTTTTCTGAGCTGCCTCCTGGGATTCGCCCCTTCACTTTTATTAGTTCGTCGAAGAGTTCTTTTGTTTTTAACACGCATTCTCCGCCCTCAGACGGTAAATCTGACCAGTATGGCCGTCCTCGACTGGTAAATGCAACTGGCGCTTGAATCTTCCCGCAGTGCGCAGAAAGACTCAACAACTGCGACACTTGTTCCATCTCCTCTTTTGGTGGAAAAATAAGAGAAATCATGCGAAGCGGGGAGACAGGTAAGGCACTCACATATCAACTTTTACATGCGGTAAGTGACCCAACCCATGAAAGATGTCAAAATTTGTGAATGACTACTAATCACTCGTAAATCAACATCAATGCGCGAACCAAAAATCTATGTTATTAAATAATAACATTAAGGGGATTTGAAACAGTAGAAAATACTGAAGGTAGTGTTCCGTTGTTTAGAAATGCCAACTTTTTAGAAAGGCTGAAAATATCAAAACCTTCAGAACTGTTTGTAACTGTGTAAACTTCGAATTTATGTGCATGAAAAGCCTATCTATTCAAAACATTAAGTAAATATGGAAGCAAATATAGAACTACCTCGGAAATTAATCTTTCAATGAAATTAACATTTAAACATCTTTTAAGAAATAGTGTAATTTCAGGAATGAAAGTTTGTCAACAGCCTACATTCCGAGTATAGTTTCCAGAATGGTTTCCGGAGGATTCGTGGTATTCTTTGCTCTTTTGAATTGATTGAGATGCGTTTCAATAAGACTAACAGGATTTTTCTTATTTTCGCCGATACGGACGCCACGAGAACAACAGTTTTCATGAGGACACATGTTGCCAGGCTGGTCAGTGACTAATATGTTCAAATAGAATTAGCGGTTGTGATCGTAAACATAAGTTTTGTGTATAAAAAGAGAACTTTACTTCCGTGAGATTAATTTGCACTTTTCGTCTGTTCTGGATTACGTTGAGCTCCAGACTGGCGTCGAAATATCGCCGAATACTTCATGATTTTCAGTATTCTCGATCGATTTTTCAATAAGGCAATTTCCGCATGATGTGTTTGTTAAGACCTTTAAAAGTAGATATTTCCTGAAGGCATTTACCGAAGTAGTGAGTATTTAGGCGTTCTTTTTCATGTAGAAGGTCATTTGGGTCGCACTTTAGGACTCACCAAAACAGAAAACTGCATCGTCGAATAAAATGAACCTCCACAAAGCAGTTAGCAACGAATATGCATTCAGCTGACGGATGTTTCTGTACGTTAAATTTTTACACGGTGAGGCCAAGAAAAATTGGGCACTCTGGCGCCTCTTCCAGGTTGCTAAAAATATAGATATTTTTCTACCGCAAACATAAGGACATGCATTTTTTCCTTATTCGGGTCCATATTCGCTTTATTTGCCCATCTGTAAGCTCCGTTCTACCGTTTTAAGTGCATAAGAGAGTTACCATATAAATACTGATATTTTGCTGAAAATGTTGATGTTTTGTTCGTTACGTTTCTCAATTACTTCTGTGCAGAAGCTAGAATTCACGAAAAGTAATATTCCATATGTTCAAAACTGTGAATAACCATTCGATGATGGTCATTTTGGGTGTGAAAACATGGAATTTTCCAAACGGAAAAAATTTTTAGCCCATTTAAACTAAGGATTGGCCGTGTGCGTTGTTACTGTACTCGAGAGCACCAAATCGCAACAATTTGTTAATCGACTTCTCAAAATCGAGAAAACTCTTGGTTCTCTTGAAATAACCTGTGTTAGTCGACTGATTCCCA